GAAATTAAGATAATAAAAATTCAATTAGATTCAGTTTTAATGCAGTTCTAATGACCCAGAGTTTCACTCTTTCACTTTCTCCTCTTTTTTTAAACGTGTGTCAAAAACTGACAGTCTTCAAATGACCTTCAGGTAAAGACAAACTAAACAGAAAATCTGAGCTTTTTTCTGATAAAATGATTAAAGCACACCTTGTTGTTCATCCATAAAAACTGTCCTCAGGAACCTCAGGGTCATGTTTGATCAGGTCCTTGGAGGGTCACTTTAAAAAAGTCTGTAAAGTTTAAAGAACGATGTTACAATTGGATATTTAAATGATCAAGTCAGCTTTAAACAGACCTCAGACCGCCCACATCGCCCCGGCTTTATCTGCTCTTGGCTTCCAAGGTTTTCAGGTTTTCAATAACAGAGTTAAGGATTATATACGACAGCTATTATCCCGAGCTTACTGCAAGTTAGTTTGTCCAGAAATCTGAGTGCAACTGCATCATCATTTAAATCAGTGATGTCTTCTTTATTACATATGGCATAGTTTCTAGATTTTAACAGAAGGTCCAAGAGGGTGAAGATTTGGAGTGAGTGGGTTTTACATTGTGTTTGGGCTGAAAAAAGTGAGGGAGATCCACCCACCAATTACTCAGAACCAAGGAGAGGTCTTCATACGTTAATAAGACACTAAGAAGAACAAAATGATTGAATTAATATAATTAAATAATAACAATCACAATTTTGTTTCTCTAGATATTCCATATCAACACAGCTGTGAGGAGACAGAGCTTCAGTCGGGCCAGAAGCCTTCAAACAAAGAAATAATCTCCGGTTTGGACCAAGAGAAACCAGAAGCATGGCAGTCGGTGAAGGAACCAAAAGGTTCTGTAGCTCCCCTGATTAAAACGGAAATGGAAACAACTGAATTTCAGCATTTAAAAGAGGAAAATGGTGAAATCTGCATCAGTCAGGCTGGAGAACAGCTTGTTCTGAACCAGGAGACTGGTACCATAATGGTGAAGGACAGAGAGCAGGGAGAACCAAATATGGACCAGCTGTTCTCCCAGAACTCTACAGGAACGGAGCACCCAGACCAGATGGTGACCAATGATAAAGCATCTATACTGAGACAGAATAACGAGGATAAAACGAAACCAAAGAGACATGGTGCGGTGAAAAGGGCTTTATGCAAGATATGTGGTAAAAGTTTCAACCAGTGTTATTTATACGACCACATCAGAACTCACACAGGTGAGAAGCGTTTCTCGTGCCAAATGTGTGGAAAGAAGTTTGTTCAAAAAAGTAACTTGGTAACTCACATGAGGATTCACTCTGTAGGGAAACAACGTCCATGTGAAATCTGTGGTAAAACTTTCTCTCGTGACGATCGTTTGGCATCTCACATGAGCATGCATGCCGGTGAAAAACCTTTCCCATGTCAGACCTGTGGAAAAGGTTACAGTCAGAAGATTCATTTAATCCGTCACACAAAAACTCACACAGGTGAGAAACCCTTTGAGTGTCAGATCTGTGGGAAAGGTTTTATCCAGAAAGATAGTTTAATCACTCACACAAGAACCCACACCGGAGAGAAGCCTTTCTCTTGTCAGACATGTGGAAAACGTTTCAGTGACAGGAGTAATTTAATACATCACATTAGAACTCACACAGGTGAGAGGCCTTACTCCTGTAAGATTTGTGGGAAAAGTTTTATACAAAAAATAAACATAGTTACTCACATGAAAGTTCACTCAGGTGGGAAACGCTTCCCGTGTGAATTCTGTAGTCTGTGTTTCTCTCGCAGAGCTAATTTGACTTGTCACATGTCCACTCATACAGGCCTGGAAGCTTTTTCATTTCAGCCCTCTGAACATGAATTCAGTGAAGTTGAAAAACTTCAAACTCCACATGAGCGCTCACTCGAGTGACGAGGTGTGATCTAAGACTAATTTCAAAATGTCAGACATTACAACTGAAAAAGTTTTTTTTTGTTAAACTAAAGTATATTGTTTACAGCTTATTTATAAAAACAATGTAATGTTTATTTAGATATGTAACATGTATGAAAAAGCAATTTGGAAATGTCCATATTGAACTGTAAAAATCTTGTCACAGAAAATCCAACTAGATAAAAACGCACAGTTTAAAAATAAAGCTGCTGTTTCTAGCATTTTCTGCATTCATTTGTTTTTAATGATGGATCTGATAGTTTATGTTGCTGCCATGCTTTGTTTTTTTTATGCCTTTCATGTCAGCCTAGTGAAGCTTTTATAATTTTTTTACTCTGTGATATATTTAGACAGTCATGTGACATAAAAAGATAGACAGAATTGCATATATTCACCTAATTGCATCATAAGAATAAAATACATTCAGCCACAAATTGTTTGCTACGTGACATGAAAAACATCAGGTGTAAACCATCATTATAAAAGGCAATGAAGAGGATGAGGGGAGCCACCTTCTCATGGGTTTGGCTAACACAACAAATATTAGCAATAATATCAAAAGCATTAACAAAAATATCCACAGCAAAAGGAACGCAGCATTATGAAGACGTTTAACATTAAATAAATTGTCAGAGAAAGCACAGAAGAGATTTACAGAAAATGTCTTAAAGATATAGTGCAGATTTCCCTTTTTCCAGGTGGATCATCAAAATAAGTGGTCTTCTTAATTGTCAATCATTCTGTGATTTGTTTATGTAAGGCCGTCTTAGGTGCTTATCCCCAGTTAGCTATCTTTTTCTGCACATGCGCACTTTCAGACGAATATCTGTGGTGAGCTACGGTCTCAGCCAGTCATTGAAGCTTGTCTTTCCTACCGCTGTTGTTTGAAAATGGCTGAGGTTCGAAAGAGAAAAAGTGTCTGTGAAGTGTATGAAAAGAAGAGAAAGGCCCCAGAAGAGAGAAACAAGACCAGAGTCTTTTTGGAAGAATCTTTTACATAATAGCGTACACTGAAAGCACATGTTGGGTCTCCCATTGATGCCTTGGTTACAAAGTTTCTACTCACAGGTAAAGTTTGGCATGCTATTTGGGGAAATCCATTTCACATCACTGCTAGTAAATGTCATCTACCTCTATATTGTAACTTTTCTGGGAAGATAAGGTTATTTATTGCGCTCATGCATGCTCTTTCACGCATTTAATGGGCGTTCCTTCTCGGGATCAGGTACAGGGTTGTGCACGTGCATTTTTGTGGAGAGAGTGGGTCTTTTAAAAAGTTTGTGAAAATCCTCTACTGCACCTTTAAGTCAAACTCCTACTTTTAAATTTTGGTGCTAGCATCCAGGCTTGTGGAATAAGGCAATCAATTTTGAAATTTTATTTCGAACGACCTTAATATGCGGTTTCCATTATAACTTATGATCTAATATTACCCCAAGAATTGTCTTTCTTTTTCCCTTTCTAAAATGACTTCCTCAACCTTTAGGTCTTCATTTGTTTGTTACTAAATACAAATCTATTTAGTTTTTCTTATATTAAAATATTATTTGTTTTTATCACACCAATGCTAGAGTTTAGACAATTATTTAGTCAGAAGTAGTCATTCAGTCAAAAGTTACTGAATATTGTCTCTTGATACATACAGGGTTGTGTTGTCAGCAAAAAGCATAGGTCTTAATAATTGATAAACCAGACAACTATCAATGATATACAATATAAACAGCTTTGGACCAATTAGAAAACCCTGGGGAACACCGCAAATTACACCAAGCCTCTCTGAGTTCATTGAACTGATCATACTGACAACTGTTATCAAGAACTTTTCATAGCCGGTCCTCTTAAGCCATGCTTCTGATTGACAGTTATCTTTTGTATCTCTCCTTCTGTCCCCTATTTGGCCTCGGCAGATGGCCACACACACTGAGCCTGGTTCTGCAGGAAGGTTTCTTTCTGTTAAAAGGGAGATTTCTTCTCCACTGTCATTACAGGTAGGCTTGGTGTGAGGGATTGCTGTCAAGTCAATGAGTCGATGCAATCAGGTTGTTTTCCTTAGATAGAAATTTTTTACCAATTTGTTTGTATGATCTGGTTGAATTGTCTCTGTAAAGTGTAGTGAGATGCCATGTGTTGTGAATTGGCACTATATATACCTAAATGAACTGAATTGATTATTTATTTATATATATATATATATATATATATATATATATATATATATATATATATATATATATATATATATATATATATATATATATATATATATATATACATACTGGGGTTGACTTGATAATGTAAATGTCTATGTATTTATATTTTATATGTTTGTTCCTTTCTCTCTGTTTGGGGTATAAATGCACAATATATCCCAAACTGGGTCAAAAGGAAACAAGGAAAATATAAATACATTGGCTCTAGAGAGACTTTAGCTTCACATCCACTCATTTTCACATTATTTCATGAAACAAGTTTTAACTTATATATTTCATTTGCTGTCAAAAGCCAGTGAATGCTGTGTATTTCAGGTGGTAAAAGTTAAACAGAATAGCTGATAATTGGACCTTATCTAATCTAACTATATTTTATCTTTATTTATCTGCAGGGTTACACTTAGTCTCATATTTCCTCCATGCACTCCTTATTTATAAATGACAAAGCTTGACTTAGCCTCTTGTAACTCAACCAAACTCAACTTTATTTATAAAGCCCTTTAAAACAACCACAGCTGCCACAAAGTGCTGTATATATCAAGTAAAGTTAATATATTTTAAACAATTTAAAGGAATAAAACAAATATAATAAAATACATTCATTAAAACAAATAAAACCTTTATAATAAAAAAAAAGAACAATAAACAAAACATAAAGAGTATCATGCTGTGTGAAAAGTCAAAGAACAAAATAGGTTTTAAGATGAGTTTTAAAAATAGTCAAGAAGATTGTCTGATGAGGAGGTGGATCTTATTCGATAATTTTGGAGCAGCAACCACAAGCTCTGTCTCCTCTGAGCTTCACCTAGAGGAAGCATAGGGATGAAGAAGCTCAGAGAGGTTTTTTAAACCTTTTAAAGATTTAAAAAATATATATATATTAAAATGAACTCTAAAATGCACAGGCAGCCAATTAAGGGAGGCCAGAATGGGAGGCATGTGCTCCCTCTAACATACTTCATTAAAAAGGCATGTAGCTGCATTTGCACCAACTGGAGACGTGCGAGGGAGGACTGGCTCACTCCAAAATAAAGTGCTTTACAGTAGTCCAGCCGAGATGTAACAAAGGCATGGATAACCGTTTCAAAGGTATGTAAGTTTTCCTTTTTTTGCTAATTCTTTGTTAATCTGCATATGCTTTTATTCTTATTTCAAGCTCCACTGGGGAGAAATGTGTGCTATAAGACTTTCTATCCTCTTCCTGCTGCTGAGGTGGATCTGAGGTCATGTTCTCCTGCTCTGAAATGGAAAAACCAGAATATCACAGAGCTGAAGAGATACTGTGATTTATCTATTCCATGACAAATTTCTCTGAGGAGACAATAAAGTAATATTTATTCTACTCTAATGACTCAGGATATCCCCTCTCTAGTCAAACTAAGATAAGCTGATGTTAAAAAACAATGTCCTGTTCATTTCAGCACAGAACTCTAGGTGGAGCTGTGTCTTTTTTAATTAAAAGTCACCAGGTTTTATGGTCATGCTCATCATGTTATATAAGAAGGAGAGAAATCTGTGTGAATAGAAACAAACTAGAACCCTAAACAAACTTTTTACAGCTCTAAATGAATCAGCTAGTATTTATGCTAATGTGGAAACTTAAATATCTCTGAGAAATTCAGTTATCCTTGATGATATTTTCTGTCTTATTTCTGGATCTCGAATTCTATTGAGAGACTTTCTCAACTCTGCGATGCTGCTTTTTCGATAGAAGGTTTCTTCTGGAATCTCTGCTGCCTTAATGTGGAACTCAATTGACTGCTTCCTCTCATTTTTAAAGAAATATAAATGTTTTGCATAACGGTTGTAAAGCATCTGTTTTCCAACTGGATCTAGGTCATTTTTTTCCAGCAGCTTCTTGTAGATCTGGTCAGCGTTCCCGTCTTTTTTCTTTGCATATATGGATGCTAAAGTTATATTATCTTCAAGAGAAAATTCAGGATCGGCATTAGTCACTTCCTCCCAGAGTTCGATTGCTTTATCGATCGTCCTCTTGTCATGTTTGAAATCCTTGGAAAATATCTTCTCTTTAAGACGCTCTGCATCAGATCTGTCTTGCTTTTTTCTCTGGTTCTTCTTTGAAAATTCCTCAGCGTTGTCGTCACATTCAAACTTTCTGTTCAGACGCAGTAATAGTCTGATTCCAGTGTAATGGTTGGCAGGCAGCTTCTTCAGCTTTTCAGACAACTCCAGAGCTTCATTCTTTTTTTCTATTCCTTTTGCACTTCCTGCCTCCAGATAAAGAGCAGCAATACATAAGTTGTCTGGATCTCGTTCTTTGGCAGATTTCAGCGTCTCCAGCATGTCAGTGTACAGTTCCTGTAAGTTTTCTTTAAAGACCTCTGCTGATAATATGGCGCAGCTACTCTGCCATTCCATGTTGTCTGGCTGCATCCTTACTGCTCTCTGGAAGAGCTCTGCAGCCTGCAGCTTCTTCTCTTTGTCAAGCTTCATCAGGGTCCAGGCCTTCTCAGCACAGACCTCTGGGTGGAGCTCTTCTTCAGGTGGAGCTGGGTATTCTCTCATTAGAGCTTCAATCTTTGAGAGGTAATCCTGACTCTTCTCATCTTCACCCATAAGATGGTGCAGCCAAGCCAGATTCCCAAAGTTCACCATCAACCAGGGACCTTCATCTGAGTTTTTAAGACGCTGGAAGGTCTCAGTGGCTCGTCTGAAGAACTTCAGGGCCTCTTCAGAGGAGCCCAGCATGTACTGGATGAACCCCTGCAGGTTGTAGATGTCACCCAGCCAGATGTTTCCCTCATCTGTGGCGATGTCCTCCAGTGCATCTCTGAGATAGTTCAGTTTGAACTTGGTAGGTTCTAGATTCCAGGTAAAGTAGCACTGCAAGGCGTTCAGTTTGGATTCCAAGGCCTCTGTAGAACTGATGAGAAAATCAAATAAAGTACAAGAAAGAAGATTGATTAGATATGGGATTTTAATTTGCTTTTAAATTCTTTGAAATGAATTATATGATATATTCTTAAGATGAGAAAATAAATTTAAAAAGAGGCAAGACATTATGATGAGAGCAGAAATTATGATCCAACAAAGGTGGGGAAAATATCTACAACTGGGAACTTATCTAGATTAAAATATTTTTGTCCTCCAGTGCATCACTGAGATAGTTTAGTTTGTATTTGGAAAGTTCTAGACCCCAGGTGAAGTGGCACTGCAAGGCGTTCAGTTTGGACTCCAAAGACGACATGGAGCTGATAAGAAAGATGTTAAAATAAATGTTAAAAAAAACAACAACTGGAATGTTGATACAATCTGTCCTGCAAATTTCCAACAAATGAAAGTAATTATAGCAGTGATAAGCAACAAAGGGAGGAAACTAAAAAAATAGGTAAATGTGGGTAGAAGGGAGAAGTCTCGCAGTTGAATAATATTAACTTGATTATGAGTTCTTTCTCTAGAAGGGACCTCTGTTACCCCTATCCCACTGGCTGAAAAGCCTGATGAGACATGGTGTCATGGTTTTGGTTCTGTTTAAGTTTTATCTTTGCGTTTTCATTGTTTTTTTTGTTTTTTTTTGTGTTATTCTAGTTATTTTTGATTATATTTGAGTTCTTAGGTATTTCCTTTTTGCCCTCTTTTCTCTGTCTCCTTTTCCCAAGCTCCCTTCTAGACTCCTTTTTCACCTTCTCCCAATCTGCTGATTAGCCTGGTCTTTGTTTGTCTCTCCCATATATGCTCCTCCTGCTCAGTCACTGTGGCTGGTTTGTCGACATTTCTTTGCCCCCTTGCTGTGAGTATTCCTGGTTCTCAATATTTGTGGATTTTGTAGATTTATGTTTTTGGATTTTTGCTTCTGTTACCCATTTTGTTATTAAATCTGCAAGTAACCACCTTCAGCTTCAGTCTCTGCATTTGGATCCTCTTCAAACCACCACGCAACCTGAGACCTGGGAACAGTCGGCTTTTAGTGGCAGTGGGAACAGCTCACTGACTTGTGTCTACCCGGGTCAAACGTCTCAGGAAGTGTTAAAATCACCTCTGCTCTGATTTGCATGCTGTGGGAACATCAGACCCCTGGTGATCTGCTAATGTATTGGAAACCATTGAGTGCAACGTACGGATGTCAACACATTCCGCAAGTCGTGTCTGATCTAGCAAACGGTTAATTGTTTCTTAATGCAGCTGCAAACATATTTTAACAACCATCAGTACGACTGTCCTCTGCTGTCTATCAATGATCACGTCTGGGCACTTCCGACCAACATACAGACAGACAAGACACCTAAATAGCAGTGTAACAGGAAAAAAATGGTTAAAACTGTCCTCAGGTAACACAGAGTAATACTACATATACCTCAGCGATAGTATCTAGGTGTTACTTTATTGTATGTCTCGTACCATGTCCTTTGGTTGTGCTGTTCTTTTTACATCTCTTTGCAGGTGATAAGGCAGACTGAAAATGTTTTATTATTATCTCCTTTTAATTTCCTCTTTCTTTCATCTTTTCTCCTGTTTTTCTGTTTTTCCTTTCCTGTTCTACTTACATTGCAGTGTCCATATAATCTGTAAAACTCCCTCAATAACTATGATAAAGCAATGTATATGCATAAAACAAGTGGAAAACTATGGCAATTGCCATACTGCTACACTTGTGAAAGTAAAATCTGTTGGGCTCTTTTTGCCATCAAGACAATTATTCTTATTGCCACATTGTCAGACAGGACACTGTAAAAAAAATAAATATAAAAAAACTGTCCTTTAAGCATTTTGCAAATAATTCAACTTAACACAAAATTATCTGTTTGAGCAAATATTCAATAGTAATTTAAACTGTCTTGCTTATGTGCAGAGAAAATCAACAACTGTTATTCAAAAATCACTCGCTTCCTCACAAGTTTACATTGAATCATCAAATAAATCCAGATTTAACTGAAATGACTAAAATTAAATCCAACAGAAGAGATGGTTTGTAATATTCCTCCTTAATCTTTCACTCACCTCATGTTCCAGCTGCTTTTGTTTAGAATCACTTCAAAGTTTATGATTTTTTTAAGCCTCTCCAGTGAATTTCTACTGTAAAGTTCTCAATCTGAGTTAAGACACTTTTATGCTATGAGAATTCAGAAACGTTTTTAGGGCGAGGTTCAACAAAAGGAAACCTGTTTAACTAGTCTGGGAGAGGTTGGAATTTTGTTGCTGTTTGAGCTGACAGTAGTGGAAACTTAAAGGTATGTGTAATAGTTACAGGGATTTACAGACATAAATGGTATATGTAATAAGGTGACCAGATTTCTGAAATCAAATCTGGGGACAGTTCCAGCTTGTAGATAAAAATAAACACATATCATTAAAATTAAAACACTAAACTGGGACAGTGATGCTTTCATCTATTTTCACATATTTTTAAATACTTAAACAACAAAAATCAAGTGTAAAATGCAGAAATGTACCTTTCCTATTTGCTAAGATTAATAAAATTAGTCAGTCGTTGATGTTTATTAGTGCCATCTGGTCATTCCGTCTTCTCTGCTCTTCCCTTTACATTTTTTCTTTCTGGCTGACTTCAGCCTGTTCTCTGTTTTACTCTTCTAAGTAGATTTTTCTTCTTTCTCTTCAGCTGATCTTAACATCAGTTTTCCTATTTTTTTCTGCTGTCTTCTAATCTTCCTCTCCTACCAATCTTACATATTCTAAAACAGGGATATAATGCAGTCAAAATCACACCTGATTAAATACTAAAAAGGCTTTCACCTCAAAACAACCAAATAAATGAACATTAAACAGGTGGTTATCTCTTCCTCCATCATTCTCAGATCATGCAGGTCTTGTCTCATTCAGTTTTCCTTTAACTGCCTCTTATTTTTTTATAATGAGAAATTTTCATATTTCTAAACTGAAAGGTAGAAAAGTAGACCTAAGCCTGATGATGATGATGCCGATGAAGATTTATTTTGTCATTTTGTATACACGAGTGTAAACAAAAAGACATTTTGTTTAAAACAGCTCTAGAAAGTTTCATTTTTTAAAGTGCAGCCTTTAAAACAGTAATAAATACATAAAGTACATAAAAACATAAGCCTGGAAGTCTATGCTCATAAATCACAAACATATAACAGCAGAACAAATTACGACTCTACTTACAATAACTATCTTAAGATATAAACTAAAGGTAAGCGATCAGTTCTACAAACACCTTTAAGCAAACCCTTGTTTTTCTTTTGAGAACCTTTGTACCAGATTAGAGCCTTACAACGAGTTTTCAATCATTCTTTTTAATTATATAAGAATCTATTTCCTCATGACAGCTGCAGCCAATGGTCTGTCTTACTTTTTGTTGATTGTTTATGTTACGTTTCCGGTGTCCTGCCAAGGTAGCCAATCCCTGACAGAATTATTATCACCTTGCTGCGAGCATGCACAGAGTAGGAGCCAATCGAGTTCACTCCGCCTCAATTCCATAATGGTAGAAGATACAGCAACTGGAAATCACTATAAAACTCACATATAGATTTAAGCACTAAATACGACATGGGATAAAGTAATATTCCTACTGGGCATAGCCTATAATATGTACTCGTACACTCCATTCACTATTTTATTTTTATTATAAGAACATGGTTAACAACAGTTTTCAATGAGATGAGAACATTCAGACACTGTGAAACATTTAGATAATTTTTTTATGGAACATGTTGAAATTTATAAGGAGCCGTTGGCTTTCAGCAGAAGGAGTTTACACTGTTTTGAAGCAAACACTCGTGTTTTTTTTTTCTTTTATCAATGTCACTGGGGATATTCTGCCACAGCATGTTAAGGGGAGAATAAAATAACGTCGCTCATCTTTAATAAAGATAACACATCTCAAGTTTCACTTTTAGTAGTTTGGAACTGAGGCGGAGTGAACTCGATCAGCTCTTCCTAATCCATGCGCGTTAACGACGAGGGGATACAAATTCTATATAATTCTGTATAATTGAACTTTATTAATCTTTATTGATCTTGCACTGGAGAAATTCTCTCTCTGCATTTAACCCATCCCCTTGGGAAGTTGTCTGCCACTGTGTGGTGCCCGGGGAGCAGTGTGGGGGTTAAAGATCTTGCTCAGGAACCCAGAGTGCAGGCTGTGGGGCTTGAACCGGGTACTTGCAACCTTCTCAGAGCAAAAGGGCACTGCTCTAAGCAAGGTTGTAACCACCCTTTGTGAAGCCCAGGCTAACTGATGCAATATTGTATCCACTATTGATATCTCTCAAATTCAGTAATAAAAAGTGTACTTTGGAAAAAAAAGAAAAACCCAAAACATAAAAAAAACATTGAATTTTTTTTTTTTCCGGCTTCATAAAGGAAACAAATATAAAGCATATAAAAGTCCAAACAGGCCAAGTTTCTCAGGGAGGTTCTGCAGATTATTTAACACATTCCTAAACAATGATGACAGTAGACACTAAATTAGTTGGACATCTTCATCTTCATACTTGTGTTGATGACTCATCAGTGTTACAACTCTGGGATCAGGAAAAACCTGTATTGTTCTGTTCGGAGTAGAAAAAGAAAAAAAAGAAGAGTCCGATGGCACAAAGCGCTGCATGGTGGTGCATTTTAAGCTGTGTTCTTGTTGGATATGTGTATGGACGTGTTATGAATTGAAGCTATATAAATAAATGGAATCAAATTGATGCCGGTTATTGAAACAGAATGGATTTATCACATGTTGCCATTGACCCTGAGACGTGTTGCAACTGTCCCAGGTATGGGGTGGGTTGTTACAGTTTACTTTTGTATGGATATTGTGAAAGACCAATCTAATGTTATCATGCTGCAATTTTTTGGACAATTAGCAAACAGATATATGTATAATATATAAAATATATAAATAAACAATTTGTGTGGGCTCAGTTGTCTCAGAGTATTTGGGAGAAAAGAGCAAGGAGTTGCAACCATTCCCAGTCTCCTCTACTGTTAGGCTTTAAATAGAACTATAAACTACTAAAGTGGTAATTTGGCCAGTACTACCCACATCTCATGTCCCTGCTCTATATCTAATCACCTTACCTTGTTTTCTTTTGGTCCAAATGAAACTGAGGCTTCAGAAGCTTTGTAATGCAAAAAAATAAGCTACAGGTAAAACAGATAAAGTTAAGACACAAAGGAAGTAAAAGCCACAAGCTTTTAATACTATTATAATTATCAACAGCAGAACAGGAGACATTACAGCATGTGGAGCAAAACCTCAAAGAATCTTTGACAAACTAATTAAATATCCAATTCGAGTGGAGGCATCTGAACTTCAGCATGAGAAAGACATTAAAATTGTTGCAGATTTGATGTTGATTATTATTCTTCGATGTTCAGCGAGGTTAAAAATGCTTGGATTTTCTTGCATATTTCAGAGTCATTGTTTTTTTCCAATACCTTCTTCAACTCTGTGATGCTCTTCTGTTGATACTTGGATTGCTCTTGAATCTCTGCTGCCTTCATGTGGTATTTAATAGACTCTTCACTATCTTTCTTAATGAAGTATAAATGTTTTGCATAACGACAGTAAAGCATCTGTTTTTCTGCTGGGTCCAAATCTTTTCTGTCCAGCAACTCGCTGTACATCTGGTCAGCTTTCTTTATGTCTACCTTTGTATGAACATCTGCAAGAGATATTTTTTCTTCTAGGGAACTTTCAGGGTAAGCCTTTATCACTTCCTCCCACAAACGGATTGCCTTGTCTATTATTCTGGTATCAGGATTGCCTCGATCAGAAAAAATATTCTTTGTCAGCCATTTTGCAGCAGACCTTTTAGCATAACGTGAATTAGGATTTCTTCTTAAGGCCTCAGTGACTATTTCAGCAGCTGCATCTACAGATATGTGCTTTCTGTAAAGAGAAAGTAATGGCTCGAAACCACTGTAGTTGTTAATTGGCCTTTCTAAAATCCTTTCAGCTAGTTCTCTTGCTTGATTCTTAACTGAAGCAGCTTGTGCCTCCAGATAAAGAGCAGCAACACATAAGTTGTCTGGATCTCGTTCCGTGGCAGATCTCAGTCGCTCCAAATTTTCAGTGTGAAGTTTATTTATATCTTCTTTTAACCTTTGTGCTGATAATATGGCCCCGCTGCTCTGCCATTCCACGTTGTCTGGCTGCATCCTCACTGCTCTCTGGAAGAGCTCTGCAGCCTGCAGCTTCTTCTCTTTGTCAAACGTCATCAGGGTCCAGGCCTTCTCAGCACAGACCTCTGGGTGGAGCTCTTCCTCAGGTGGAGCTGGGTATTCTCTCATTAGAGCTTCAACCTTTGACAGGTAATCTTGACTTTTCTCATCCTCACCCATAAGATGGTGCAGCCAAGCCAGATTCCCAAAGTTCACTATCAACCAGGGACCTTCATCAGAGTTTTTAAGACGCTGGAAGGTCTCAGTGGCTTTGCTGAAGATGTTTAGGGCCTGTTCAGAGGAGCCGAGCTTGTACTGGATGAACCCCTGCAGGTTGTAGATGTGACCCAGCCAGACGTTTCCCTCCTCTGTGCTGATGTCCTGCAGTCTATACCTGAGATACATCAGGTTTTGACGGTTAGCTTCCAGATTCCAGGTGAAATGGCACTGCAAGGCCTTCAGTCTGGACTCCAAAGTCTCTGTAGAACTGATTGGAAAAACATGTGAAATAAGAAAGAAGAGTAATCAGATATGGGATTTAAGATATACTGCAGCCCCTGGAGAAACATAATATGATGGAGGAAGGAAACTGATTAGATATTCTAATGAAAAGAGAAAAGAAAGGGGAGAGGAAGACAGGAGAGAGATAAAGCTGAGGAAAAAATCTTTATCAGACTGAACTAAAGAAAACCTAAACTGTTCAAAAACCAAATTTAAGTCCAATTAACACAGATGAATATTTGATCTCATATTTTGCATTTTTCCATCACTTACTTCATGATCCAGCTGTTTTCTATGTGAATCCGTTTGAAGGTTAGTGGATTCTAAAGCTTCTCCAGCGTCTCAGCGAGAGGTTCTCCTGGAAAGTTTTCAATCTGAGCTCAGAGACACTTTTAGCTGCAGAAAGTGACAGAGAAGCTGTTGGAAGGAGGCTGGACTAAAGGAGAGAAACCGGTCCAACCAGTCCAGGAGAGGCTGCATACAAGTTTCCCTTTGATTCAACTTACAGGTAAATAGAAATTTAATCGGAGAACCAAAAAAAATTTAATTAAAAATTTAGTTTCAGATTCCTATTTTAAAACCTATATTTTTATTTAAACTATTAATGAGGGTTTATTTCTATTTAGTTGTTGATAATTCAGGCAGCACATGTTCTTTTGAGTAAACAGAAGAAAAATTAAGAATATTTCCCCATTTCTCTCTTGGTTCCAGCTACCAATCTGGTGGCTGGCTCTTCATTTTAGAAAATCAAAATAGATGTTGATAAATAGATGTTGATACAAAATAAACAGATTAAATATTTACCTGAACTTTCAACTCAGTTCCATTTATAAGTTTTATAATAATTAGAAAGTGGTTAAAAAAAATGATGATGAACAGTTAGACCTGTTCCCCGTGCATGTTGGACTCCAGCATGGCTGGCATCTGAAACCGGTCTTGTTCTATGGACAGGATTTCTGGGCACAGTAAAGGGCTAGAGGGGTCTCTGGTTAAAGGACATGGGGATTTCATCTCTGCTTTTCGAAGATGATATGGTTCTGCTGGATCCCTCCTGTTTAGACCTACAGCGTGCACTGGGGCCGTTTGCAGCCAAGCGTGAAGCGGCCAGGATGAGAGTCAGCTCTTCCAAGTCCGTGACCATGGAAAGCTGGCTTGTCCCCTTCAGGTTGGGGAGAATTCACAAAAGTTTTGAAAAGTGACCCTGTGTGACTTGAATCTTTTGATATCTGGCTGTCCAAGTGCACAGTCCTATCCGAGCTAAGTTTCGGAATGTTTATAGAACTTAAAAGTGCAAAAAATCTTTTTAAAATGATTTAAATTAACTTTATCTGTAATTTGGGTTGAACGTGACTACTTGGTAGTAGTGGTACATGGTACATGCTAACAATTAAGAGGACAAAGGTCCCGCTATGACTCAACATGTTAAACAGTCAACTTATAATAATGGACATATTTTTGACATGCTTATCAGTCAAACTAATTCTATTGTTTCTGTAAATGATATTGCCCTATCACACCATCTTTCTGTTCACTTTGAAACAATTTTTTATCACTGATCGACAGTTAACAAACCGTTGGCAGATGAATTGGCCTGCAATGACTGTGCAAAGTTCTTTACTGAGAAAATGAAATTAATAAGAAAAACAGTCTGTACATCCACATCAACTCCAGTTCCAATGCTGTCAGCGATTAAGGTAAACTCTGCTAAAACGCCCCAATTCTGCCAAATAAACTGCAAAAGTTAGGAAAATGTTCAGCAGCTGAGCTCCTTTCCTTGATGTTTTCCCCATGGGTTTTATTGAGAAACATTTTACCTGTTTTAGTGTCTGATTTGATCTAAATCAGCAACACATCCCTTATGTTGGGTGTTTTCCCCCAGGTCTTACAAAACGCAACTATCAAACTATTGATGAAAAAAAGCAGCTTGGACAATTAAATGCTACAGGCCAATCTCAAACCTCCCCGTCATTGGTGAAATTATTGAAAAAAGTTGTGTTTCAACAGTTAAATGCCTTATTAACTATAACCATCTGCTTTGATGTCTTCCAGTCAGGTTTCCATGCCATCCACAATACAAAGACTGCCCTGACTAAGATGTTTAATAACATTTGTATAAATTCCGACTCTGGAAGAACCATGGTGCTGGGACTTCAGGGCAGTGTTGGATACTGTTGATCACCTGATTTTATTATAAAATTATAAAGGGTAACCGTTTTTTTAAATTGCAACATAAAACTGACTAAAACCTTTTAGAATTTTAGTCGACTAAAACTGCATTAAAACGATCACATATAGAAATGAATAAAATGTGACTAAAACTAACAATAGTTTTTGTATTCTGGATGAAACTAAGATGGCGGTCAAAAACAACACTGGTTCCTGTGCTGGGTTTTGATTCTAATGAACTGCTTAAATACGCAACCAATAATTGAACACTAAACCATCTCTAATACCTTTTTGAGAGTATCTGGTCCTCTCCTTCCTGTTCTTTTCACCACATTTGCAACTGTGCAAAGAAGCCCATCCGAGTCAGTATGCCCCTGCTTTGCCATGTTGACTGCCCATTGCAGGTGACTTTCACCCAGAAGTCTGAGGATCAAATCCCACCAGGGGGATCTTATTCCTCTGTTCTTTACCTTGCCTCTTTCTGGGGTCATTGGCAGGATCCATGTGCTATGCAGGTAAACGGTCCATGGGTTGTAGCAGCATGCATGGAGCACCAGGACGTGCTAGGAAAAGCGGGGGAGAGATTTGCTAGTGTGGGGTCCTGTCACTATCCTGTTACTACTTGGCGAATGGGACATCCCTTTGGCTGACTGGTCAGTGCTCATGACTTTCACCTGGGATATATTCCCACCCTGACCCACTAAAGTGTACCTTGTCACACTTCCATGAACAAAAACTGTCACACCTTCAGAAACAGATTTCCCTTCTCTCCACTCCTTTTCTTATTTCAGATTGGCTGTCCTGCTCTTTAATCACCCAGATCGCTCTCTGCTTTTTGAATTTTCAATGTTTTGTTTTTTTTGTATTTAGTTTTAACCTTCGATTTTCCATTATAGTTTATTTTTAATTAAATTTTGGTTGGCTAACTTTTTATAATCAAATTTAATGCTTTGAGTGTAGTTTTTTTTTTTATTTAAGTTGTAGTTTTAGGCTTTTATGTAAACGACTTTCATACTGGGGCCAAGAACAGCAAAATTTCAGCAAAACAAATGAGCCTGACTGCTGCGCCTATCAACCGCTGGCAAAACACAGTAACAGCAACAACAAAAAGGAATTTAGGTTTCACATTAATGAATCATGGTGAGCACCATTTTTCCCTCTAATTTTTTATGCATATGTGCATACAGACCAGCCCCCTGAGTATACTAAGAATCAATGTGGGCAAAATCTTATAGGCACTTTGCGACCACACACCAATATTAAAGTTGTTTTAAACCCATGGGTAAGGGTCATAACAAGTTATATTGTTTATTAAAAGAATCAAAGATTTCAACAGCAATTTCTATTAGTTTATTTTATTGCAAGTGACTTGGTCCATTTGAAAAAAGGGGGAAAAAAATGTCTGTCATGAGATGTTTAGTATGTTATATATTTAAGAGTCCTTCTTTGGCCAGAGTGAGGACTGTGGTGGGAAAATTCAATTTTCTATAAATTCTATGTATTGATTTATGAGAGCTGATTTAGCATTTAATACTTTATAAATATGTTCACTCAAGGCCTAACACCTGCAAGGCCACACATTGTCTGACTGAGAAGATTTGTTTTACTCTTTATTTGGGACAGAAAATAATAATTTCGATAACAAGCCAGACTCTTTCTTGGGGTTTATTGTAACAATTTACTATCTTCCTCAACTGTCTCAAAGTTTTTCTGCAAGCTTTAAGTTAGTGAGAGAAACTATGTCTATTCAGAGCAGGGCAGAGTCTGAGGAAAAGAAAGAAAACACAGTAACTCATAAAGGTTTTCTTCCAAAGAAAACAAACAAACACAAAACACCAAAAAGGGAGTATTTTATGGACCTGCACTAAACAGATGTATTCAAACATTAAACCAGCCTCCATACCTAGGAGGAGATCCCTTTCTCCCTGGATTGATAATGAGCAGGAAACTCAAGCTCTTAGTCTAAGGGATAGAGAACAAATGCAGCCCAGGTTAAATCTTACCCAGATGCCAGACCACCACAGACCCAGGAGGGGCCGCAGAGCCAGTCATGACTTCCCTGCAGTAGCAGGTGTGAACCACACGATCAACTTTATGACATAAGATGACGACCGATGTTTTGGAATATATGTATTTAGTAAAACAGCTGTTTGCCATTTCACCCATATAAACCATAAAAAAACTTGATTGGATGGGTTTTATCTCCTGTTTGTTCCAGAGGAAAGTAATATAATCTCAGACTCCACAAAAAGGGATCTGATGAGGCCTTTTTGACAGGTTGAAAGCATGTTTTTAAAATAAATAAATAAATAAATAAATAAAATAAATAACAGGCTTCAAGCAAGTGTTAAACATTCTTTATTTAGCTCATATAGTCATTTAATTTATACCTTATTTACATAATTCTTTAAGATCAGTGTGATGTAATATTCTCATTTTAAATGTTCTGTTTTCATTATAAGCTGAAAATCTTAATCAGTAGAAATTGAGGCTTAAAACATTCTTGTGTAATTTGGGTGCTTCTCTTAATAAACCTCTGCTTGCAGTTTTACCTGCCGGTCTTTCTGGGCTTTTCTTAATCAGAAAATAAAATTAATTCTTTATTTTGACAACATCAACACTTGTATTCTACAGAAATTCAAAGTTGTAAGAGGGATGCAATAAAACATTTATTTTTTCTCATCATTTTGAACCTTTCATGCATGACTTATACTAAACAAAGCCAGGATTTTTTTTTTTATAAGGGTTTTTATATATCCTAAGGAATGTAAAACAACTTTTCAAAAAAATAAAATTCTATCTATTGTCTTTGTTCTATAACGAAATATGTATCAGTCCACTCAAGTGTACTTAATGCATTGTATACTGTACAAAAAAATCTATATACCACCAAATTAGTTGCATAGATATAGTGTAGTTTAGTATTCCAATTGTGAATGGTATTCTGTTGAAATTGCGGTTCCTCTAGTTCCCTGTAGAAACCGAAATGGCCAAGATTTTTGGTCTTTTGTGTGTCAGCCATCTTGGATTCACTGACTTTCTATTTTTATTGCAATGATGAACAAATGTTTTTTTCTGTATGGGATGATGCAGTAACTTACACTAGAATGGTCTATATAAATAAATGAACAAAATTGAAGGCGTGAATATAGAAAAAACACATTTAAACATTTACGTTAGTGATCACTAGCCATTAAATGGTTCATGTATTTTTCATAGTTATAAAGAGATTAAACATTCTTAAATGATATGTGTTTATAAGTTAAATGCTGTATGTTATATATATTTATGTTCATTTCACAATAATCTTATATGATCTTCAGAATCAGTTTCAGGTCATTCACTGACCTGGTTTTTTAGGCAAATTTTCCAGGCTGGTCAGAAGCTCCCTGATCCTTCTCTAAATTTCAGGATCTTTGTTAATTTTTGAGGTAAACTTCAGCTGTGCGACACTTTTCTGTTTATATTTGGATTCCTTTTGAATCTCTGCTGTCATCATGTGGTACTTAGTAGAACTACAGTAGTCCTTTTTAATAAACTGTAAATGTTTTGCATAACGACAGTAAAGCATCTGTTTTTCTGCTGGATCCAGATCTTCTCTGTCCAGCAGCTCTCTGTAAATCTGGTCAGCTTTCTCTATGTCTACCTTTGTATGGACATCAGCTAGAGATATTTTTTATTTCAGGGAATATTCAGGGTAAACATCAATCACTTCTTTCCACAATCGGATTGCTTTGTCGGTTGTTCTGGGATCAGGGTTACCTCGCTGAGAAAATACCTTCTTTGTGTAGCATTTTGCAGCAGACCTCTTTACAAAACGTGAATCAGGATGTCTCTTCAAGGCCTCATCAGCTATTTTAATGGCTTCGTCTACAGATATGTACTCTCTATACAGCTTCATTACTCGGCCTATTCCACAGTAGTCGTGCATTGGCTTTTCTAGAATCTTTTCAGCTAAATCTTTTGCTTCATCTTGAATTTTCTCTCCTTTTGCAGCACATGCCTCCAGATAAAGAGCAGCAACATATAAGTTGTCTGGATCTCTTTCTGTGGCAGATTTCAATTTTTCAAAGACATCAGGAGTGATGTTCTTCATGTAAGCTTTGAAGGGACCTGCTGATAATATGGCCCAGCTGGTCTGCCATTCCACGTTGTCTGGCTGCATCCTCACGGCTCTCTGGAAGAGCTCTGCAGCCTGCAGCTTCTTCTCTTTGTCAAACCTCATCAGGGTCCAGGCCTTCTCAGCACAGACCTCTGAGTGAAGCTCTTCTCTCATTAGAGCTTCACACTTTGACAGGTAATCCTGACACTTCTCATCTTCACCCATATGATGGTGCAGCCAAGCCAGATTCCCAAAGTTCACCATCAACCAGGGACCTTCATCAGAATTTTTTAGGTGCTGGAAGGTCTCAGTGGCTCGTCTGAAGAACTTCAGGGCCTCTTCAGAGGAACCCAGCTTGAACTGGATGAACCCCTGCAGGTTGTAGATGTGACCCAGCCAGACGTTTTCCTTCTCCCTGCTGGTGTCTTTTAGTTCATCCCAGAGATTCAGATTTGGAGGGTTTACCTCCAGGTCCCAGGTGAAGTGGCACTGCAAGGCCTTCAGTCTGGACTCCAATGACAATTTAGAACTGATAAATGATAAACAAATAAAAACAAGAAAGAAGAGTTACCAGATATGAAAATTTATCTGCTGGTGGTGCGAATAAAACTCTTAAATGATCACTTTTTTGTTATACAAAGGTTTGTCAATGTTATTGTTTTTTTTAAACTGTGTACCCATTGTAACCCCTGTCAGTGGGACAACAAATGGAAGTTAGCATTTGGCTACAATAGGGCATGTTTACATTCATGGGTCTTTTATGTGTGTCCATTAACATGCACTCTCCCTATCAAATTAATAAATTAAATACTGTAGTTCCTGGACAAAAAAAAAAAAATAAGGATATTGTGGTGAAAAGAGAAAGAAAATGAGAGAAAGGTTGGACAAAGGCATACAGTATTAGTCTGTTACCTTGATTTAAAAGGCCTATATTGTGTAAAATGCTTTAATATTGTAAAGCAATTTCTTGATCAAAATTAGGCATGAGGTGGCATTTCACTTGATTGAATCACCGCTGAGTTATATCTGTGGAAATTCAGTTATGTGTCCTTTGTTGCTCAGGTGCAAGTGTACAGCTCAGGGGCTTTGAGGACGACTCAGCTGTGCACCTCAAGGGTGCAAAATACAATTCTTTGACGACCAAATGGTTCAAATTTTGGACAGAGAGGACAAATCGTTCAAAAATTGAGAAAAACATTTTTGTTAAAATTGAAAAACAATCACTGAACAGAGGGAGATGACTACGGTTTCAGCTTCCAAATATCTACAATTCTGTACTGGATCTCATTCCATTGAAATTACATAAGACCTCTTATCATGATTCATGTGGCCAAATGCAAAACCCATTCAAAGACGCCAACTACTTAGAAGACAGTTGGATGGGTCTTTAATTGGCTGTTTAAAAAAATCAGTGCTCCAACTACAGATTGCTCTGGTGTGACCTGACAGAATTAAAAAACAACTTCTGAACAGGTGTAGAAACGTCTTCAGAAAAACTGAGCAAAAGTCTGGTTGCAGATATGCAACAAAACCTTTGGATTGTGTACAGAGCCAAGATAGCACATGCACCCCCCGTCTCAGATATTACATATTCACTGTGGACCCAGGTAAACTTTGGTAAGCTATTGTGTTTCCTACAATTAGTCTCTAGCAGTGTATGTTATCATTGACTGTTGTACTTGTTTTTAAAAATGTGTAATATACCTACATTTCTATTTATTTTTAAAATAAATGGAAATTTAAAAACATTTAATTTGTCAACTTCTTAAAGGCAAAAACGGCATCAGGAGGTTGACTTTGAACAAGATAAAATTAATACAAACATGAAAGCAAATGAGAGAAAGTAGAAGCAGAGGAAACCAAAGGTGAATAAAGAAAAGAGGACCTGAAGAAAACCAGAACAGAAGGAAAACGGTCAAATAAACACACAGAGATGAACATTTTATCAGGGTTCTGATATGTTTTTAAATTCCATTACTCACCTCATGTTCCAGCTGTTTCTACTGTGAATACCCTTTAAAGATTTGCTGATTTTGAGCTTCTCCAGCTTCTCAATGAGAGGTTCCCTTTGAAACTTGTCAGCCCGAGCTCAGAGATCCTTTTATATGTTTGGATGTGGCTGCAGGAAGTAAAGGAAACAGTTAGAATGTGGTTTGATAAAAAATATACTAGTTTAACCAGTCTTGAGGTTTGGAGATTTTCTTTTGTTTTCCGTTTGACGGGAATCGAAACATAATTAGAGAAACTATTTTAAAACTTTCGTTTCAGACTAAAGTTTGTTTCGAAGGGTTAATGAAGGTGTAACATGATAACTTGTTAAGGTCATTAAGTTTGTTAACATATCTAATAACATTTACTTGACTTTTTTTTAATGAAATGGACTTAGGCCACAAAGACACATGCACTAACTCCTCATACAAGCAGTTTTATTTAGTTCATATACACTAAAACTATTCTCCATGGGAATTTTGAAAATTTCACAGATACAGATTCAGGACGACTAGGCCCCACTATATTACGTGAATATCTATTTTGTTTGACAAATATATCAGACTAGAAATTAGGATTTACCTGCAGATTGTATAACGGCAGCAATGAGTTGCTCTGAGAAAAGATGCAGACAGCTGAGAGTGAAAGAATCCAAAACCTCAAAATTACTTACAAAGCAACATGCATAACTGGCACAAACCTGGTGCAGGAGGGATCTGATGAAAATGATCCAAAAACTTAACCCTCAGAAAAGCCCAGCAAAACTAAAGGGAACTTCCTTATTGAGAAAATTAGAGGAGAGAACCTCAGCAGCCAGAGACCATACATTCCAGGAAACATAAGATCTGGTGACCAAAAGGAAACATGCAAAGTACATGCAAAAGTTTTTCTGTCACCAAACAAATGTTGTGAATCCTGTCAACAAGTAATACAAATATCTGATCAAAAGCAAGCATTTCTAGAGAAACAAAGTCACCTTAAAAAAAGGAGATGGGAACAAAATCCTCTCAGTGTCACATGTTAGCAGTTTTAAAAGCAAAAGACCAATCGCACTTATCATATCACACCTGTCCTAAAACAGATCTTATATAGAAAATATGTCTTTTTGGTGTAAAATTAAAAATATTCAAACCCCAAGCTTTGTGGCAAGGCAAGGCATGTTTATTTGTAACACAATTCAGTACATGGACAATTCATTGTGCTCTACGTGAATTAAACAATGAAATAGAAAAAAAAAAGCAGAGTAAAAGCGAATACAGATAAAAACAATAATAATTCTTTAGCTATCAGGCATATCTCTTACCACCTACCAGTTTTAGTCTGTGCCGCAGACACCCTTTCTACTTTTAAAGCATGGCTTAAAACTTTTCTTTTTCATAGTAAGAGTGGCTCAGTTTATCCTGAGGTATCTCTATAGTTATGCTGCTATAGGCTTATAGCAGTCTAACATGTATAGACTGCTGGAGGACATAGGGACCCCTATTTCCTCATTATGTTTTATTCTATCTCTATTCTCCCACTCTGCAGAATCTGTTAGTTCAATCTCTAATGTTTCATCTGTACTGTTGCTGTTTGACTGTGAAACCATCCCAGACACCTTTGTTTATAGATGTTGCAGCCCGGCCTGTTTTTTTTTACTGTTTACGGTTTCCTTTAGTGTGAGTATCTGTATGTGCTCTCTTTCATCCTCTGACATGGGAGCTGGTTTGGAGCTCGTCTGCCTTACTCTGTGATTTCTGGACGAGGTCGCCTGCGGAGCTGGTAGACAGTTACCTTTTGTATCTCTGCTGCTTTCTGTATGTCTGCTGCTGTTTCATTAAACCCCATTCAGCCTCAGCAGGTGGCAGCTCACACTGAGTCTGGTTCTGCTGGAGGTTTATTCCTGTTAAAAAGGAGTTTTCCTCTCCACTGTTACAAGCATGCTTGATTTGAGGGATTGCTGTCTAGTCAATGAGTTGATGCAATCAATCTGTTTTCACTTAGATAGAAAACTTTGAACGGAATAAACAAGCAGGAAGTAAAACAAACAAAACTGTTAGACCACAACCTTAAACTAATGATAGCCAACACACACAGAGTCAACACTTTAACTTCAACAGTCAAAGGCAGCTCTAAAAAAGTGGGTTTTTAGCATTGACTTTAAAGAACTCAGGCATGCACTATACTTTTCCAGTCTTCTGGGAGTTCCACATAAGTGGCACATAGGAACCAAACACTGCTTTTGTTGGATACAGGAACACATGTTTTCATAATGAGTAAACCCTGAATGACTCAAAACATCCCAGATGTAAGTATCCACCCAGTCAGTGATCTTTTGTGTGATAATTAACCGCTTTACCCCTCAACTGTCATAAAGATGTCCTGAATGATCTACAGAACCACCTGTAGAAAGTAAAAACTGGTTTAAAAAATTGTCCTCTTTACAGAGACACCAAGTATTTGCATCTACTCAAAGTAACTCAAGAATAGAATGTATTTAAATGTGGACATGTATTTTTAACTGTGATTTTTCATGCAGCATTTACAGTTGAACTTTTTATATATTAAGAAGTACAGGAAAACTGTCAGGAGGAACACCTGGAAAGAAGTGTCTTAGGCCCCGTCCACACGAAGCCGAACCCTGGCCTAAACGCACAAATTTTTCACCAAACCAGCCTCTCATCCATACGAAGCCGGCGTTTCGGGGGTCTGTAAACAATCTTTTTTATTCAGCCTTCAGAGTGGGAAGATTTTGAAACGCCGTTTTCGCGTTTCCATCTTTAAGCTCTAACCGCATTTTTTTTTTACACGCATGCATCATAGCGTCGCCTCTAAACACGCATGCGCGACACAGTATCACAACAACAATGGCGCCGTACTGTGTTGAATGGTTGCTGCTAATGCTACTCACCCTGCTGTCGGGCTTACAACAGAATCTTCTTCTTCTGGAATATCTCCAGGAAGAACAGAGCAATATCGACGACATAGTTCAGCACCTGAATTTGACTGAACCACGAAAATTGACCCGCAGGGCAACCATGTATAAATATTAGTGCGCATGCCCAACATTCCGTCGCCTATTTTTGCTTTGGCACGACAGCGCCACTTACAGGCCTGGCATACATTTTGCAGCGTTTTCATGCATTCATGTGGACGATCACATTTATTTTACGTCTCCGTCTTTATGACAAACGTTCTGGAAAATATTAGCGTTTCGTGTTCGTTTTGACTTTGTGTGGACGGGGCCTTTGTCATATAACTGGCACATGCTCCTTGGATAGAACAGGTTCTACACAACATGCAGAGGGACGTGCATGTGCTGTGTACTTGGTTTTATAATCTACTTCTCCAGAAAAGGGGGGTGGGGGATGAGTGAAATATTATGTCGTTAACTGATTTTGACCTAGAAATTTTAACCTTCAGCTTAAATAGATCATGTCAAAGGTAAGGTATTTAACCCTTAAAAGGCCAGGGGTGGAAAATAAGTTTGGGGAAAAAAATATATAATTAATCTTTGGATGAGCTCAAACTCTGTGTTTCTCAGTGACAGCTCAGAAACATGACTAATCTAAAGAAGATCTGTGTGGAGAAGAGGGACAAGATCCCTCCTGCAGTCTATGCAAACCTGGTGAAAAACTACAGGAAACATTTGGCCTCTGTAATTGCTTTTCATTGATTTTCTCAGATTTTCAAATACTTATTTGCAGCTGTATCATACAAATAAATAGTTGAAAAACATATATTGTGATTTCTGGATTTTAATTTTAGATTATGTGTGTCCCAGTGGACATGCACCTATGATGACAATTTCAGACCCATCTATGATTTCTGAGTGGGAGAACTTGCAAAATAGCAGGGTGTTCAAATACTTATTTTCCTTACTGGAAAACACTAGTGAGGAATGTAATATGGAAAAGACTCACCATGGTAGAAGGCAGGAGACAAATATCAAGGCAGCGCAGAGAAAAGTGAGTCAATTGTGAGTCAAAGTGAGTCAATTGACACAGGCCCTGATAGGTGGAATACAAAATCAAGTACCCAAGAGATACAGCCAGATGCCAATACTGTTAGGAATCCAGTTTTTGTGGGTTGTTTGTGTGTTTTTCTCTCCCTCCACCACCAGGTGATGCCCTGTTCTCGTTGGCCCTTTCTGCACACCTGCAGCTCGTTGGTTCATCACTGAAGAGTATTTGAGCAGCGGACTGTCACTACCTCGACGCCAGAGTGTTTGCCAGTTTTGAGTACTCTAGCCAAGCTGAGTTTAGCTGAGTCTAATCTGAGCCTTTGTTTCTCTGAGTCTAACTTTGTTTTTGTCTTTGCCTTTTCGGCAGGAAGCCTTCCCATGTAACTGGATGCCTGCCCTTCTCCCCCTGGAAGGATTAACTGAGTTCACACTGAGCAGGGTAAAACTTCCACATGTGCCTTTCAAGTCCCCATTGAAAATCCTAGTGACAGTCCGCTCCATTGCTCTTCAGGGTCCAACGAATGTCTACCTGTCCGCTCTCCAACGCGTTCCCTCTTCTCTGGATAAACCCACACCAACTGGATCCAGGAAAGACAAGAACCCCCTCAAACATAAGTCAGGACTAAATCAGTTTTTCCTACGGCCCATGAACTTATCACTGTGATCTCCTCTCCAGACTTCCCACTTCCGGTTCACCAGTTCTCTGAGTTCCTGATTCAACTCCTGTAAAGTCTCCTAAATAAACCTGTTAAACTTTTCCCCTGGTTCTCTGCATGTGGGTCAGATGTCTTGAATCGATCATGACACATACCTGAAGCACTGGAAACTGCCAAACAAAGGCTCCAAGGATGGTGTCACAGCCGAACAGGAATAGATGAGGCGAAGCTACTATGAGAAAAAGCAAAAAGAGCATAACGTTAGAGATTGAACTAACAGATTCTGCAGAATAGGAGAATAGAGATGGAATGAAACATAATGATGAAATAGGGGTCCCTATGTCCTCCAGAAGTCTAAGCCTATAGCAGCATAACTATAGAGATAGCTAAGGATAACTGTATCAGATGCAGCACTGAGATCTAACAGGACAAGTACAGATGCAAGACCATTATCTGAGGCCATGAAAATGTCAGTGACTTTCACCAGAGCTGTTTCCGTGCTGTGATGAGCTCTGAAGCTAGATTGAAACT